GCTCGGGTCGCAATAAACAACTGCACCTCCCAGTCGTGAACCATTTCAACTCCCCCTCCCATTCCTCAGACGACATGTCCATCCTGGGCCTCCTGAAGTGCCACAACGATGCCACCCGAAGGTTGCAGGAACAGCAACTCATATTCCGCTTGGGAACCCTGCAGCCCAATGGTATCAATGTGGATTTCACAAGCTTCAAAATCTCCCCTCCCCCTACCACATCCCAAAACCAGTCCAGCTCGTCCCCGCCTCCCTAACCTGTTCTTCCTCCCACCTATCCCCTCCTCCCACCTCAAGCCGCACTCCTATCTCCTACCTACTAACCTCATCCTGCCCCCTTGACCTGTCCGTCCTCCCTGGACTGACCTATCCCCTCCCTAATTCCCCACCTACACTCACCTTTACTGGCTCCATCCCCGCCTCTTCAACCTGTTTGTTTCCTCTCCACCTATCCTGTCCTCTATCCATCTTCTATCCGCCTCCCACTCTCTCCCTATTTATTTCAGAACCCCCTTCCCCTCCCCCTTTTGTGATTAAAAGGGAGTGGCTTTGTTATTGGAGAGGAAAAGCGAAGACTGCTTTCTGATGCTCCTCCAGAATGTAGGAGTGAAAGCATTGCATTTATTTTTTCTTGTGTTCTTCGCCCCAGCATAATAAAGTCAATTGTCATCAGAACTCTTCATTTTTTTTATCAGTGATTTTGTCAAAAATGCTTCTGACAGACATTGGTTACCACATGATTTCTGCAGCAATCAGATGTCAGTTGGTGTTGAGCTAGGGTTTGATGGGAGGGGAATCCAAGTTGTGGTTGTTGCCCATGAGTAACATTTCTGATTGGAAACCCCTGGGTCCCTTGTTTCCATCCTTGTTTGTTGCCAAGGGCTACCTATCTCATCGAGGGTCAGAATTAATATTCTTCCCATAAACAGAAATAGCACTTTCCCTTTTATCCACTTTACTGTGGACCATACACTAGAAACAGTGATAATCACTTCAGAAATCCTTCTCTAAATGGTCTGTGTGCTCTTCACATTTCATCGGTACCAGGGTATATGTGCACAAAAACTATCATGGGAAACAGGGACAGTAAAAGACCAGATATGCCAATAACCCTGCTTTGAATATAGTCATGGTTGATCTCCATCCTCAGCATTTTCCTACCCATTGTCCATATCCAATGATTCCTTGAGATGCTAGAAAACCTGTCAATCTCATCCTTAAATATCATCAAAAATGGAGCAAATACGACATTCTGAGGTAAAAAAAATTCCAAAAGCTCGCAATTCTTTGGATGAAGAAATTTCTCCTCATCTCAGTTCTAAATGATCAACCCTTTCATAAATCATAGAATCCCCACAGTGTGAAAGCAGGCCATTTGGCCCATTGAGTCCATACCAACTTTCTAAACAGCATCCCATTCAGACTCATCCCATCCCTGTAACCCTGCATATCCCACGGTTAATGCACCTAACCTACACACTCCTGGACATTATGGGCAATTTAGCATGGTCAATCCACCTAACCTGCACATCTTTGGATTGTGGGAGGAAGCTGGAGCGCTCAGAGGAAACCCACACAGACATGGGGAGAATGTGCAAACTCCACACAGACAGTCATCTGAGCATGGAATCAAACCCAACACCCTGGTGCTGTGAGGCAGCAGTGCTAACCACTGAGCCACCATGCTGCCCCTTTCTCATGAGACTGTGAGTGGGAACCTTCCTCGCTCTCAAGCAATGATGGCAATGGGGAGAAAGTTGGGGGACTAAGTGTGAGATGATGAGTGAGGAGCTTCCAAACGGCAAAAGTGAAAAATCCCATTTTCTAACGGAGTGTTGAACAGCAAGATGAGATTCTCACTCGTGAGCAGGAGCGGCCTACTCGTATGCATTTGCTTACATTAATATCCTCATAATGATATTATCTGTCCTCATTGATAAGCAGTTTCCCATCCTCATACCTGCCAGATAGAAACCAGTGACAGTTCCTGACATCGAAGTCAGACTGGTTACCTGGCCACTCCAACTCGCTGCCTGCTCCTCCAGACATCCATTAGTCACCAACATCTCAGGGTTTCTCCACAGGCAGTGACAGTACAACCCCTTCCCTCCGCAATCCCCAGTCCACCAGGGTCGGCAAAACAGGGGTCCCAGTTTGCCTCTGCCCTCAAGTCTAAACTAATTGACAGGATTCATGCAGGGCAGCTGTGGACAGGCCAGATTTAACCAGATTCATGGCTGAGCTTTAAAGATGGTCATGGCGCCAGGAATCCTGGTATAACCCAACAGTCACCAGTGCATCTGCCCGTTCCAAGTGGCAAAATACAATGAGAAGGTACCAAAGTGGCATGGTGTACAGCTACTCAGGCCAATTTGTGAAAATAGGGAAAACGGTGGCTCAGTGGTTAGCACTGCTGCCTCACAGCGCCAGGGACCCGAGTTCGATTCCACCCTTGGGTGACTGTCTGTGTGGAGTTTGCACATTCTCCCTGTGTCTGCGTGGGTTTCCTTTGGGTGCTCTGGTTTCCTCCCACAGTCCAAAGATGTGCAGGTTAGGTGGATTGGCCACGTTAAATTGCCCATCGTGTTCAGGGATGTGTAGATTATCTGGGTGAGAGGGGGATGGATCTGGGTGGGATGCTCTGAGGGTCAGTATGGACTTGCTGGGCTGAAGGGTCTGTTTCCACATTGTAGGGATTCTATGATGATGATGATGAAAAGAGAGAAAACTCACTAGGGTTGACAGAGACAAACCCTCTTTGAAACTTGCCAAAAGTACACTTTACCAGTTTCTAGTAAAATTCAGCTCTGTATCTTACATTCCCCAGCCAGAGGACCTCTCAGTGTCTCCCCTATCAACGTCCTTCGGTATCCTGTATGTTTCAGTGAGATCATCACTCGTTCTTCTAAACGCCAGATAGTATAGGCCCAGTTTACTCAGTCTTTCAATATAGAACAGCACTGTCGTTCCAGAAAGCAACCTTGTGAACCTCCTTCGTAACATCTCCAACATAATGTCCTTCCATAAATATAAAGACAAACCTATGCACAGTAAACCGGGTGTGCACTCAAAGCCCATAAAATGGTTGCAATACTTTCTTATTCTTGTACACAAACACCTTGTAACAAAGGTCAGCAAAGCATTTGCCTTCCTAATTGCTTACCATACTTGCACACTACATTTATATATTTCTTGTCTGAGTGTGCACAAGTCCCTCTGAACTTCAACCTGATTTTTAAAACATACTGTGTATTGTTATACTTAACATCAATGTGAGTAACCTCACATTGCCACCTTACTGCCCACTTACATAACCTGGTGGTACAGCTGGTTGCAGAAGTAGTTAAAAAGCATTCAGGATCTTGGGATTTATAAAAGACCCAGAGTTTAAAAAAAAGCCAAAAAAAATGTTAAGGTGAGCTTTTGTAAAATACTGGTTTTCCCTCTACGGGCGTAGACTGTTCTGTATAATTCTGGACACTGCACTGTAGACATGTGAGAAAGTATGGAGTAGACTATAACAAGCTGGTTCCAGAATGAGGAATTGCAGTGACATGGATTGATTGAAGACACTGGGTTCATTCTTCAAAGGAGATCTAATAGAACTGTTCAAAATCACAAGGCCTCAAGAGATAATAAAGAGGAACTTTCTCATTGGCAGAAAAGTCAAGAACAAAAGGACATGGATTTAAATTGTTGGCAAAAGAAACAAAGGCAAAATGAGGATTTTTTTTACACAGCAGTGGCACAATCTAGAAAACAGCTTCTGAAAGGATGACGGAGGTTTAGCTTTCAAAAGGGAATTAGAATTATAGAATCCTTACAATGCAGAAACAGGCCATTCGAGCCATCAAGTCCACATTGACCCTCTGAAGTGCATCCCACCCCATCCAACCCAGCTTTTCCCATGGCCAATCCACCTAACCTGCACATTATGGATAATTTAGCATGGCCAATCCATCCACCCTGCACATCTTTGGACTATGGAGGAAACCGGACCACCCGGAGGAAACCCATTCCAGACACATGGAGAATGTGCAAACTCCACACAGACAGTTACCCAACAGTGGAATCAAACCTGGGTCCCCAGTGCAGTGAGGCAGCAGTGCTAACCACTGAGTCTCTATGCTGCCCCAAATTGGCAAAATACCCAAAGGGAAAATAAAATGCAAGTTAACAGGAAAAGGGGAGTGGAGCAAGACTAGCTAAACTGCTCTTTCAGAGGGCTGGTGTGCGCTGGATGGACAGAATGTTCTCCATTTGTGCTAAAAACATTCTCTGGTTCTACATGTGCAGTGGTAAGCTGACCACCCCAGTGTGTTTACAATAGAATAAAACCTGCACCTATTTAATGCATGAGGTACAAGTCAGTTTTAACGCTTTTATTTCCATAATGAGGAACGTTGTTAGAGGGTCACAGATTCATTGGGATCTGTCAGACAGCAAAAAGTACAGAGACCGCAGAGGACATGAGGGAAACCACAAGCCTTTGCTTTTACGGTACCTCCTGGTAACTGGCTCCAGAGGCCTCTGAGCGGGGGTCACATAACTGCCATCTTTCAGCAGAACGGTATGTAGTGGAGAAAAGCCTGATGCAGGGAGAGAGGGAGAAAAAAAATCAGACAGTCAAAGAAATCATTCTGACTATTAGTGGAAATGAAATAAATCAAGCACAGATCAATGAAATAAATCAAGCACAGTTTAAGAACTCAAGAGATGTTACTTGTGATGAACAATGTCAGCACTTATTGTGTCACTGTTCAGCAGGCAGATCAGTTTGATCCTTTATACTTCAATTTCCTTCTCCACTTGGACTGGGCTGATCATTGATCAGCTGCTGATCTCCATGTCTGAACTGGGATGGATGAAAGGCTCCAAACAAGTGGTGTTTAGCATTTGAAGGGTTAAACTGCTTATGCAGAGTTTAGAGAAGTGCACGCTTCCTGGATAAACAGAAACATGTTGTACTCAATTTGAGCAAACAGCAATTCAATGCCTCATTTGGGTTCTTGTGGTGCAACATTCTCCTTATCTCCAGGCTCAGAGACCTGGGCTCAAGCCCCACCTAATCTGGAGGCATGTAATAACATCTCTGAACAGGTCGATTAGTAAACAGGTACATTAAAAAGAAGTCAAACGGTGCTTTACATTTTTGTGAATTGGCAGCATGATGCAGATAGCTCAGATACTGCAGTCGGTGATTGTAAAAGTTGCAGACTTGGTTATCAGGAACTAATAAGTCTCCAACATAGAAACATTAATGATTATACGGAGGCCACAAAGAGCTGGTTATTCTCCAGAGGTCTCTTTCCCAGTTCCCTGCTTTTCACAAAGCAGCTTTGCACAGTTCAGTCTTCATTAATTAATCTTTTTGCGTGTGTTGGGTTCAGCCCCAGGGCAGCTCAGCCTGATTTTTCCATTTAATTTAAATCAACTGGAATATAATGTTCCGAGCAGTCACCTGACTTCCCAGCCTGCTGCCTGAAGAGGTATCAGTGTGTGACAGCCGATAGCAGAAAGCTGTCAGTTATTGATAAATGCTTGGCACAGCATGGTGATTATCAGACTTATGCAAGCAATTTGCAACAGAAATAATTGCAGTTACGTGATACTCTCTCCCAGGCCCTTTCTAAGCAAAAACCAGATGGGGAATTTCAGAAGCCAGTAAATCATTGTAAAAAGGCAAGACATTCTGCTTGGTTCAGTTGATATTTTATCACGGTTTAGATTAAAAAACCAAGCAATATTTCTCTTTCGATAAATGGTATTCGGCCCGAAGGTGTTTTACATGGCAATTGTCAACTAATTTCAGAATGCTGAATTTCTTTTGGTTTTAAGGATGTGCTACAAACCTTGTTAAGGTTTTAATTTAATTACAACTGGCTCTTCCAGAGTTTTGCCCTCTTTCTCCTCAACATTCCTACACTACAAGTAAAGCCAGTGGAACTTGGTGCAACTCCTTTCAGTTACAGAGGATGGACTAACTCGCATTAAAGAATTCTTTGGGATTTTCACACAAATTGGTTGGAGTGGAGGGTGGATGTGAGGATGGAGCAGCCATGGAAGCATTCACACTGACATTTCCCATTTGGCCAGGCAGTTTGGGAATCAATGGAAATGACTCCAAGTTGATAGCGTCTGAAAGTTGGTGAGTAGAAAGAACTTTCCAGTACTGGATTGTCATCTCTATATCATACATGCCGGTTGCCTGGATGAATGCAGCTCCAACAACACTCAAAAAGCTTGACACCGTCCAAGGCAAAGCAACGCACTTGCCACTGTCAACACTCAATCTCTTCACCACCAAATGTACAATGGCAGCAATGTGTACTGCAGTAACTCACCAAAGTTCCTCTGACAACACCTACCAAACTCATGACCTGTAGTGCATATAAGGACAAGGGCAGCAGATACATAGGAACACGACCACTTGCAAGTTTACCTCCATGCAAGTTCACCATCCTGTATTGGAAATATATCACCGTTCCTTCAGTGTCATTGGGTCCAAATCCTGGAACTCCCTTTCTGACATCCCAAGGTCAGGAGCAGTTCAAGAGGCAGCTTAAAATCTCCCTCTCCAGGGTAATTAAAGACAGGCAATAAGTACTAAACATGCCATTGACATCTATGTCCCATTAATAAGTATTAATAAAAGCATAATTCCTATGGTTCTACTGAAGGCAAGATCTCTGAATTATTGACAATGTGTATTTTTCACCCAGCATTCTTTTTGCATGTACACATTCTGGACAGAAGAGCTCTCAAATATTATTTGGCCTTTATCATTAAAGAGTTAACTTTAATCAGCCATAGCTATTATGGACTAAAATTCTCAACTTGATTCAACTCCTTTTTAATTCTGTTCATGGAGAAAATAGACTACAATGACTTTTTGTTCATCTCCCTATTTTCTTCACAAATCCCATGTCAATACTCAATTTCATTTGGTTAGTTTCCATAGGCTTAGTTTCATCATTCTCTGCACTGTTTCTCCAGCCTTCTCAATGTTGATTTACTAGGTCTGGAGAGAATAGAGAGAAGCTGAGAATGTGTTACCTAGAGTGGGGAAGGTTAAGGAAAGCTTAACAGAGTTGTTCAAAATAATGATCATTGTTGATGGGGTACACAGAACATAGAACATAGAACAAGTCAGGAAAATCTGTTTCCAATGGTCAGTGAGTCAGCTACCAATGTAGACTTTTCAGAGTCATTAGAGAAAGGACCAGAGAGAAGATGAAGAGAGTTTGGTTTATCCAACTGGTTGTTGCCATCTATATTGCACTGCCTGAAAGGACATTTGGAGAAGAGCCTTTAGCAATTTTCAAAGGATAATTTAGGAGAAAGGAGAAATTACAAGGATATTGAGAAAGAGTGTGAATGGAACTAATTGTATCATTCTCTGACAGAGTTGGTAATGAATCTGCTAACTCATTCGCTTTTTACCCTCATGGATTATACAAGTAGGAACTCTTTGGTATAACATCTCACAATTCCCCAGTCTCTCTCCATTTTCTTTGGGTTTAATTTGTTGCTCTTCCACACAGAATGGGTGAATATTATTGCTTGCTCTGCCTGCAGAGTGTGTCCAGCAATTCTCAGTTATCTGATGACTGAATGTTTGTACAAATCACTGGCATGGATTTATTTTCGTCAGAGAATCCTTAGTGTGGAAGCAGGCCATTCAGCCCATCAAATCCACACTGACCGGCTGAACAGCACCCAATCGGGACCCAGCCCCCTATCCTATCCCTGTAACCTTGCATTTCCCATGAACAATCCACCTAATCTGCACATTGTTGGAGTGTGAGAGGAAACTAGAGCATCCAGAGGAATCTCACGCAGACACAGGGAGAATGTGCAAACTCCACAGAGACAACCCAAGGGCAGAATTGAACCCAGGTCCCCGGAACTATAAGGCAGCAGCGATAACCACTGAGCTGTCATGCCATCTGTTTCGTTATTCTTTCTAAATCTTATTTCTACCTTGTTGGCTGAAGGCCAGATTTCTGTTACTGATCTCATGTCTAGTGCCTTTTCAAATGACTTTCCTGATTCTCAAGAAAAAAAGTAGGACACATTAGTGCATGCTCTTGTACTTAGCACAGCCAGCATCAAGGACATAAGATCATCACTTCTAATCCAACTACCAAGACCAATATGCTACCTCAGTGCAGTCGGTCTGCTATAACGCGATAGTTGCATTCCTGCGCAACATCGCATTATAGAAAAATCGCGCTGTAGAAATAATGGGTCCTATGGGAAAAACCGGGTTAGGGCAGACCACCAAAAAATATCATTCAAAATTGCTCAAAAATCACTCAAAAGCCTAACACAAAGGATTGCACAGTTTGAATAGATGTTTAATTCATATCTAATAATGAAATAAAAGTAAATTTAACACCTTACCTTGGAAAAATATGAAGATAACTTGACGTGGGAGGAGGCTTTGAGGTTGCTCTGTTGTTAATGAGGGGACTGAGGGTCATCAACAACTAGGATGGAAAGTGTCTCATTCTTTTCCCTGAATTTCATATTTGATTTCTTGGTAGTTTGATGGTCTCTCATTTTGCTCTTCCCATGAGTGGCAACATTTTTTCTCTGCCGACATCTTTCATAATCTTAAAGATAGGGTTAGGTTCCCCTCAACCGTATCTTCCCCTTTCTAGATAAAAGAGAATCAATTAGGCTATCATTTCTTGACAAGTTTTACCTCATATTCTTGGTAAGAATCATCATAAATCTTTTGGCACCCTCTCCATTGCCTTCAAACATCATATCATCACCACCACCTTCAGGTGCAGTTGGGGTTGCAGGGTTAGGGTGAAAAGTAGTTAATCCAGAATTGGATGGCTGTGGTTCATTGTCTTCTGACTCTTTCTTGGGGCTTGGTTTAAAAAAAGACACCCAATTTTTGCTGTCTTAGCCTTTTTCTTCTTTCATGAAGAAGCAGTTCATAGGGTGCCAAATAAGATCTTATTCCACGAACTGCTACCCTGCTGCATTCTGCATTGTAATCGTTGTCCCCTAAGCGCTGCAACTGCTTCTCAATTGCACTCAGGATAGAGGACAGAACAGAAGTGGAAAGTGAGTCCTGAGGAAGGGTCACCGGACCTGAAATGCTAACTCTGATTTTATCTTCACTGATCTTGCCAGACCTGCTAAGCTTTTCCAGCAACTTCTGTTTTAATTCCAGAGAAGTGGAAAGCTCTCATGGTGCTGCATCCTGGACTTCATCTTCTTCATCTCCAGCTTCCACTTCCCCCTCAGCAACAAGTTGTTGTAGATCAGCTGTAGAGAGGTCTTCACAGTGGGACTCAAGCACTATGGAAGGAAATGCCATTTCATGCTCCTCATCTGCTCTGGCACCTTCGCCACATAACTTTTAATTATGTAAAGCATAGCGGTTCTTAAAACTGCTAGCACTAAAGGCAGGCACTTCTGCAGGATTTTCAGCTCTTTTTTGTTAATCTTTGTAAATTGATACGGCTTTCTCTTTTATGGTGAGAAAAGTGGTGCCAGATCGCTTTTTCGTTTGATCTTCTGTCCACACACTTCGAAACCGCTCCATCTCATGTCTGTGACCTCACAGATTTACTCCCATTCAGACCTGTTCCAGCAACTTAGCTTGCTTTAATCTTTTCTGCATTGTCTCTAACGGCGTGTAAGGTAGACTCTTTCATTCCTGTTACGTGAAATATATCACATGTTCTCTCATTACGCTCAAAACACTTCATAACATCTAGCTTCTCTTCCAGCGTTACAGCCTTTCTTTTACATTCACCACTCACAATTTTATCCCCAGGACGCTTCTTGCTAACCTTCTTTTCACTTTGTCCTTACATTTTCGTGGGCAACATGGCAGAATCTGCAAAAAAAACAAAAATCACGCAGTACTGTACCTCTCACGAAAGCACTTCATGACAAAGTCTGTGAAATGATCACGTGATGCCAGAGCAGAGATTCTTTCAGCACTAACGTTGCACGTACTCAGGGCAAAGTTCACAAAATGCTCATGTGGCATCAATGTGCCTTCCTCCTCTCACTAATGGAATCACGTTATAGCCAACACCAGTTTGTGTTTTAGAAATAGTGTTCCCCTATTTATCATGAGCATTATAACCAATTCACATTGCTGGAACATGTGTTATAGCAGAACCGACTGAAATATGCACAGTCGTGATCCCCATGATACTGAAAGCAATTGAAGGCAATGGAGAGGGTGCCAAAAGATTTATGATGATTCTTACCAAGAATATGAGGTAAAACTTGTCAAGAAATGATAGCCTAATTGATTCTCTTTTATCTAGAAAGGGGAAGATAGGGTTGAGGAGAACCTAACCCTATCTTCAAGATTACAAAATATGTTGGCAGAGAAAAAATGTTGCCACTCGTGGGAAGAGCAAAATGAGAGACCATCAAACCACCAAGGAATCAAGTATGAAATTCAGGCAAAAGGATGAGACACTTTCCGTCCCAGTTGTCGAGGAAAATGCATTTAAGGGGAGGATTGATGATCATGAGTGAAACAATGAAGGATGGCGTCAGATTTAAGTTGACCATAATGGTTGACATTATGGCTTTTGTATTCTATACAATTCTATGTAAATCATGTTGATGCAAATCTGAAATTGTTGGAGAATCTATGGGAATATTCAGGAATCTCTTAACACTTCAGTTGTCAGATTGCAAACTGTCAAATATATATTTATTGAAAAAAAGGGCAAGTTATTTCATGTTACATTCCATTGAGTAAAGGTGGGAACTTACAGCTCTCTGGCATTCCCTGACAATTAGTGATCAGTTTTCAAATAGTTTCAGAACGCAATAAATTTGGAGCATTAAGGTAGAGGTCACTCAAACATATCTGCATATGAACAGCAGAATTGGATATTTGATAATACTTCACACTGACAGCCTCCTGTCCTGAGATACCAGTGTATTATATCTGAGATACAGTGAGCATCACCGCAGGAGATTTGCTGTTTATAGTGAAATGAAATTTTACATTGCACTGGAATTTCACTCATCAGCAATCTAAGTTGGAGAGAGTCGAACTGACTTAATTTTATGGTCATTTAATGTCATAAAGACCAGGCGCATAACTGAGAGTGGACTAAACTTTCTAAAAGGCAACTTAGTAAATTCTGTGGATGAAGGTTTCTAAAGATTTCTGTTCATGGAGTATTCTGAAGTGTAGAACTCTGTGGCATACTCTCACATGAAAATGACATTTCAGACCAGCTGGTCCATGAAGCCTGTCACACAGCACCATATTGAGCTATTATGCTGAACACTTCTTACTTCCCTGGACTCTGCTTCACCCTCACTCACACACCTCCACCTCACAAATTCCTAAGAGAGACAAAAAGGCCCCAAAAGCCAAAAGTGAAAGGTCTATAAATGGAACAATCTCTCTGTCTCTAAACTAAACTCTAGTTTCACCAGCAACTGAAACTAGTCTAGGAGATAACGCGGACCAGTTATTACTTGTAAAGACATTTGGCTTCCATATGGCATGATTCCTGTACCAGTGAGGGACTAGACTAGCTTCCTTTAAAAAATCAGAGAGCCACAAGTCACAACTCATAAAACTTGCAGGGTTATAATTCTCTAATGAAAGCAGGTCAATCTGTTCATGTTCTTATGCAGTTTAAACCCACGTCTCCTGGTCTGC